CACTTCATATGATGAGTTGGTCTCTAATGTTTCAGGTCCAGTTGTGAGCCCCACTTCAAATAATGAGTTGACCTCCAATGTTTCAGCTGCAGTTGTGACGTGCCACTTCCTACTAGTATGAGCTGTGCTACTGTGCTACTTTAACTCCATATAGTTTCTACAGTCACGTTGACTGACTGAATGTAAGCATGTCCTTCTACAATTGTAGGTTATACCTAGACGACCAAGGTGCCTGGACATGGGTTACACATTGCAACTGTCCGTGGTCATGTGGGCTCCATTCTGAGAAAGCTATGCTATGCTGGACTTTCTCTGTGAAGAATGTGGTCAGTAGATATAGGGGTGTATTTTGCTGGTCCGAATGTTCCGAGTAGTAGGGAAAGTATAACCTTCCGCATTCATGGTGAAGTGTAAGAATGAGTTGCGGGTGCTGTCCACACCCAATGATACCCCAGTTACCGTAGAAAGGCAGTTGCAGTGTCAGCTGAGGTCGTCTGGAAGTCTGATCTCTAGAGCACGTATACTGATAGATATTAAAAAGCTCTCACCTCAGGTTAAAATGAATCGATACGCTGTCTCCGTTTGATTTAGCACAATAGTCAGTGCAAAGATTTGGAGTTATGGACCTCTGTGGAGTGTACCCGTTCCGGCAAGTAACTTTTATAGAGGTTTATAACGATTTGCGTATCACTACCAAAGGATCATTGTGAAAACAAAATCAAGACTCTAAAGTCTATATTGAAATGTACCACCTCCAGTAACGATGGTTTAGTCTTTAAATGTTTTAGATCCAGTTCAGACGTGAAAAATCCTATTTTAATGAGTTGGTCTTTCAATGTTTCAGATCAATTTGAGAAGCGCCATTTCCTGGTATAATGACTTGTTCTCATATGTTTCAGCTCCGGTTGTGTGCACAACTTCATATAATAATTTGGTCTCTAATGTTTCAGCTCTGATTGTGATGTGACACTTCATGAGTTAGTCTCGATTGTTTCATCTCCAGTTGTGACACGCCACTTCATATTAGTTGGTCTTCAATGTTTCAGCTCCGGTTGTGAGCACCACTTCATATAATGAGTTGGTCTCTAATGTTTCAGGTCCAGTTGTGATGCTCCACTTCATATTAGTTGGTCTCTAATGTTTCAGCTCCAGTTGTGATGTGCCAGTCCATATAATGAGTTGGTCTCTTACCTTTCAGCTCCAGTTGGGACCCACCACTTCATATGATGAGTTGGTCTCTAATGTTTCAGGTCCAGTTGTGAGCACTACTTCATATAATGAGTTGACCTCCAATATTTCAGGTCCAGTTGTGATGCTCCACTTCATATAATGAGCTGACCTCTAATGTTTCAGCTCTGATTGTGATGTGACACTTCATGAGTTAGTCTCGATTGTTTCATCTCCAGTTGTGACACGCCACTTCATATTAGTTGGTCTCCAATGTTTCAGCTCCGGTTGTGAGCACCACTTCAAATAATGAGTTGGTCTCTAATGTTTCAGGTCCAGTTGTGACCCAGCACTTCATATGATGAGTTGGTCTCTAATGTTTCAGGTCCAGTTGTGATGCTCCACTTCATATAATGAGTTGGTCTCTAATGTTTCAGGTCCAGTTGTGATGAGCCAGTCCATATAATGAGTTGGTCTCTAATGTTTCAGCTCCAGTTGTGACCCACCACTTTATATGATGAGTTGGTCTCTAATGTTTCAGGTCCAGTTGTGATGCTCCACTTCATATAATGAGTTGGTCTCTAATGTTTCAGGTCCAGTTGTGATGCTCCACTTCATATAATGAGTTGGTCTCTAATGTTTCAGGTCCAGTTGTGATGCTCCACTTCATGTGATGAGTTGGTCTCTTATCTTTCAGCTCCAGTTGTGACGCACCACTTCATATGATGAGTTGGTCTCAAATGTTTCAGCTGCAGTTGTGACGTGCCACTTCCTACTAGTATGAGCTGTGCTACTGTGCTACTTTAACTCCATATAGTTTCTACAGTCACGTTGACTGACTGAATGTAAGCATGTCCTTCTACAATTGTAGGTTATAGCTAGACGACCAAGGTGCCTGGACATGGGTTACACATTATCCTTGGTCATGTGGGCTCCATTCTGAGAAAGCTATGCTATGCTGGACTTTCTCTGTGAAAAATGTGGTCAGTAGATATAGGGGTGTATTATAGGACTGACGGCAAGTCTCATATAGCCAGAATACTGCTGAGTGCAGCGTTAAAAAAAACCAAACAAATATTAACTTGGATGCTGAGAACACCACAACCCATGTAGAAAAATCTTTGAAATTCCTCCAACGTTTGAGGGAATTACCCCCTCGCATCTGCAGCACGCATTCATGCAAGGGGATTTTGACATTCAATATGTACAGTGTAGTACAGTGGAATATCTGCTTTGGACTTCATTGCGTCATTGTTTTGACATCCAGGCGAAATGAACATGTTACTTGTTGTGGGGCCGTAAGTGAGTCTGATTTTTACAGAGGCCTGTTTTAGAAATATTATAACAGAGGATAACAAATGTAAATAGAAACAAGATTCAAAGAAGTATTATTATGAATCATAGTATATTCAGCATGATTGATATCGCCTTGATTACAAATCCTGATTAGTTAAAGTCCTGTCTCGACAGATTCCACTGTGCACCGTAATATTTTATGTGCGAAGGAAATATGTCCATAATAGCAGTAAGGTAGCCCAGTGTCTCAATCAAGTTTTGTCACGTAACGCCGAAACTGCCGATTTCGATTCCTTACATCTGGCTAATGTTTCGTATGAAGCCCTTGGCCGCAAGCGTATAACACCATACCCATGCATTTAGTGTACACTCAGAAGTCAAACTATGGGGTACATAATAACAAGGACATTTATATGATAACAGAATAATAAACACATATAATATATCCATTGTAAATAAAAAGGTGTTTTGGGTACACTTGCTTCAAGTAGCCATGGCACCAGCAAATATTAACACACTCGGGGTACTGTGATACGCAATCAACCAAGCCAATTGCGTGGGTCGATGCTCATGATATCAATCACTGTCGTCATATAGCTGGAATATGGCTGAGTGCGGTGTTAAACAACAAACAAAACAAATTTAGGACTCCCCATAGGGTGACATCAATATTTTACGTCATTGAAACATTTTTGTTTGTTTTTCAACGCTGAACTCGGCAATATTCCAGCTTAATGACCACGGGTCTGTAAATAATCGAGTCTGCACCAGACAATTCTGTGACTGACATCGTGAGCATCGTTCACGCAAATGGGATATGATGGGGCTTACATATCGTATCGTGATTCGTATCATGACCTTGCTGTATCTTTTCACCCCTACCAGCAACGATTCTCTTTGATACACTTGTGCAATCTCTTCACAATATTCACAATTCATAGTTGATCCCTGTGATAAATAATCAATGTTTATATGCCTTTGCTGTCCCAAAAGAAGGCGGCCATAACTTTCTGGTTGCTAAACTTCTTGGTTTTGGGAGATCCAATGTGTTTCCACTCCATGTGACTATCTCCATAAATAACAATCCGACATATTTTAAATTAGCATTTTAATTATATTTCAAAATCAAGAATAACAAGGAATAATCACAGGCCCTGTACAACTTGATCTTTAATACATTAGCAGTGCCTTAATATGTTCATTGACAACCAACACTGATCAGCTATGTATGATCAGACAATACTGCCAACAAGACTTTGACATGAAAAGAAAATATTTGAGTGTAATATTTTGAATTTGCATGGTATCCGTGATTATCTGTATTCTATTGGATATTATAATCACATCTCAAATAAAGTCAGCCACCAAACTAAAAGGCACGCCCTGTACAAGGTATCACATCGATCATGAGAAGAACCTATCTCTACCTGTAATCATGGTAATAAACCTAATATTAATGACTTAGAGCATCTGATAGACATCATTTCTGAATCTATATTCCCTGATTGTTTGACAATTCCCCCTCTTCATCAAGCAGTACAAGTATGTGACAAGTGCAGTACCTATAAAACTGAGATCAGAGTTAATGTTGTGCGGAAGCATGTTCTGTTGAAATTGGTAAAACATGGTGATATCACATGAACTTAAAATCAGAATCTTAGTACTGAAAAGTTAACAAAACTGGGTTTTTTAAATACTTGGATTACAGATCTGTCAACCTAAATTTTACAAAAATGTGCGATAAAATTAACCTTATGTGAAAAGTTGTTTTTTTCGTCCCACTGAGCAGTGCTGAGATGGCAAAGTAAGCTTTTGACATAAAAAATGCACTTTTTAATCTTTCCTTTATTTCTCCTGATTGATTTTTTTTCTCAGAAATCACTTTATAACATTATCATTGATAATGGATGGTGTTATCGAAGCGATAAATCAATGCGATAAACTCGGTATCATAATTTGATAAAAAATGCAAATGAGGTCATCTTGTGGGAACTACTTTCAATAAAACTCAATACATAGATCAGTGATAGATACTAGGCCAGAAATTGTAATCTTGGTTTCCCAGTGTGTGAGTGGTTATGTAAACAAACATGGCCGCAAATCACTGCACTACGGTATATAATATATTAGAATAGAGATATGCACAATAAATATATGCCTCATCCCTGATCTAGCATCTTGTTAGCCTTTTTATTTTCATGTAGACCCGTGAAGATCCGGTTTAGAATAGGTTTTCAGCAACCCATGATCAGGTGGTCAGTCTCGCATGTCATCATATCCCAATAGCATGAATCGATGCTTATGATGTCAATCACTTGATTGTCTGGACCAGACTCGACTATTTACAGACTGCCGTCATACAGCTGGAATATAGCTGAGTGTGACGTTAAATAACAAACAAACAATAAACAAATACTTCCATCATGTCCATGTGCTCTTCCAACCAACCTAATTAGTGAGTGAGTTTAACGCCGCTTTGAGCAGTATTCCAGTTACATCACAGCGTGTCAGCTTAATGTGGAAGGAAAGCCCGAACTGACGCAGGTCTCAGACGTTAACCACATTGATGAAACCCACGAACATGTGCTGGTGCTGACAAACCTAGACACATAATCAGAGCAACCAGGGTTTGAACCAACAATCATAGGTCTCTGGCATGCCAAGGGACATATTTCTGCACAGCAAATTACAGCACCTTAGATAATTGGGCTATCCATCTCCACCAATCTACTTATCCCTACTAATCCCAGCCAATGTTCAATGACGGCTTGTATTTATACATTCTACACCTATACCCACCAGTAAAAATTCCAAGTCAAGAAAAAATTATTTTAGTCTGGCAAGCATGGTAAGCTGAGCTACTGATAGTTCATATATGTTAATACTAATTTCTACTGTAAAAATTCTACACAAGACAGGTTCAGGCAAGTAGACAAGACTGTTTTTCATACAGACTAGAGACATAATCATCACAACATATTATAGAGGCGTTATCACAAACTGTCCATACTTATCAAAATTCTTTGAGCACCCCAAAATGGTTTTCTATTGATGGAGGTAAATCGTCAAAGTGAAGAGTCTCTGTTATATCAGCACCAAATTTCTTCAACTTGCTCACAAACTTCTTTTCTTCTTTCCCTACCCATGTCCTCATCGGGTCATGAACCTGGTACGGAGTCACGTGAACGTGTATCTTTGTCTTCAGCTGGCTCAGATTTTGTAGACTCTCCGTGTCAGAAATCCACGTATTGCCATGGCCTCCACTATGGCCCCCATCCAACCAATAGAATTCTTCAACCTGGTTAACGAAATCCTTTGTCTTGGGGTCTCCTAAAGCCAATAACAGGCTATATAACATCTGATTAAGTACTATGCAGCCTTTGCTGAATCCAATGAGAATCAGTGGCACCTCCGTATCACACGCCTCCTTGCCAGATGAACCCGAGTGTATGGCTAGTTCTTTACTCACTACAGTACAATGCAGAGGTTTCAAATGGATCCAGGCACGTGGGAAACGGCTGTGGGTTGGACTGCCAAAGTCATTTGTTTCTACAAAGTTGGAATAGACGCTGAATGTGTTGAGATGCATACTGGAAGGTTTAACGACAAAAACAGCACTGTCTTGAAATCTTTTCAGGAGAATTTGTGCCGTATTTTCCAAGTTCCACTGAAGATACCTCTTGTTATCCCGATGATTTGACATTCTCTCGGGATAATCCTGAAATATAAATAAAACAGATGAACATCAGCATCCCATTATCAGTGGTTTCCAAGATCTTAAACATGTGCTAATTTATCTCATTACATCACCTGAAACAAGGTTTCTAAAAACAGCCCAATGCTTTGACAATGTTGAGACTTGCTGAAGTAATTTCTTGGTCTCATGACTCTGTACATGATGTAGGCCCTCATAGTATTTTTATTTATTAAATATAAAATGGAAACTACTTCAGCTCAAATTTCATTTTTGCACTTGATTGTGATTATTTGCACACATAATGCCATACATAGAATTGACCTTGACTTTGTGTGAGTTCATTGGAGTATGAACCTTCACAATCTCATTAAAATCAGATCTTAGTTCTCGCTATCGCTAAACAAAGATCTGAGGACATCCCATTACGGGTCAGGTCAGAACGACCTTTCATCCAATGTGTTTTCTAATCATGCAACCACAATATATTTAACACGGTATTCTGAATGACAGTTACGGGTGTTATGATTATATCCATACAATCTAGGCCATCTATAAGCCATTCCAGCATGTTCCTCTTATCACTTTTAAACTTTTTAATCGAGAATATGTCAAAATATGTTTCAAAGCATATTCGCCAGTTTGAAACTAGTGTCGTAAAGCTCGAGAAAGCTGCCATCTGATTGGCCAATGTCGATTTCTTGTCAGTCATTTAATTGGTGAGCCAAAATTCGCGAAAGGTCATTCTGACGTGACCCGTAATGGGATGTCCTCAGATCTGTGTTTAGCGGTAGCGAAAACTAAGATCTGATTTTAATGAGATTGGAACCTTCATAGAGTGAGGGCCAAACTGTATGAACGTCGGAGTTTGGCCCTCACTCTATGAAGGTATGTAAGGTATTTTTAGCAAGCACTAGTTTACGAAAGCACTTATATTTTCAATATATTTTTTATTTCGTTTTTTTCGTAATTCAAGTGGCTAAAATGAAGGGAACTAAAATACATATATTATTTTTTCGATTCATTAATTTTCATAGTATGCACAGGAATGCAGTTTATTAGGTTATATTATATTATATTGGCGCTGAACACATCCAAATGTCGCCGATGTTAGGGTAGGTTACCTCGAACTCTATCCTTAGCCCTTGGATTCCCTTTATGATTAATCACCACTTTACGATCATTAAGGTTAGGTACCCGTTTAGTGGCTATTATTGAAGGGTTAGGGTTAGGTACCTGTTTAGTGGCTATTATTGATTCTATAGCTGCTGCTAATATTCTTCACAAAAAAAACATTCAGAGAAAAAAAGGATGAAATGATTTAGTGTTGACTATTTTGGCTATTGGAAACTGTCCTGGAACATTCACACAAGCCACTTTCACCGGCTACATTTTTTCAGTACTGATTCAAAAGCAAACTCACCCTTGTGTCGTCACTAGCCATGCTTATGCCTCCCTCGTCCCTTACAATTATCCACATTATCCTTACAGAGTTCCCTACCACACTTTTCTGTCACAAAAATCACCCAACAAATTATTTAATCCAAAGTCATTCACGGTCTCCGCGAGTTCGACGTGTAATGCCTGACATCAAGAGCCTTTTTCAGTTCTCGCCATATCGGCTCATTCCTCACCACTCGGTATCTTGTAGTTAACGGAATGGGACGAGTGTGCCAAATGGCATTGGGATCACTCATAAGTGTCCGTAAGCTAAAGTCATGAGACACCATGCCTACCCATAACCTTCATAAGTGTCCGTCACCTTTTCGACCCTTTTCGTTCAGTTCCGTAACGGCGTAGGCATGACGAGATAAATTTGCACCTTGTTACACAGTGTGGACGTAGCTCAGTCATGTTAGCTGTTTGGCTAACAATCCGAATGTCCCGAGTTTGTGTTCCACGGATTCTTACTAAAACTGGTTGCTTGTCTTTGAGACACGTGACCTACGGCAGAGATCGTCCTCAAGAGAAGTCTGTATTCTAAAGGTGCTCCCTAAATTGTTCGTGTGTCATGGTCGAAGTGACATGCAAATTTGTGTTAGTATAACACATCTCCCACCTCTGATTGACAAATATAATCATGATAATGGGTTACGTAACTGACAAGATTAAAATACAACTAGAGGTGAAAAGTGTGCCGGGATACAAAATGACACGAAACCATTTCCTTCATAGTCTGTATACATTTGCACTCTGACTAGCCAAACAAAATAATAAAATCCAACCAACCCAGTCAGTTTTGAAAAACGTTGAGTAACAAGAATATTGCCTTGTGCAATGTTATGTGATTAATTGGTTTTTAATCAACTGATAGAATAATTCTGAATTAAAACATTCCATTAGCTTAACAGCTGGTTAGGGTTAGGGTTAAGAACTCGTCTGTGGTCTCAGCAGAGAGCCGTGATAGGGTCCAGTCAAGACAATGAGGCCTACATAACACGTGATGTAGGGTCATGTCTTGACTGTAGTACCCCATCGCGGCTCTTGGCGATGTGGTCGGTTGGTTGGTTTGTTTGTTGTTTAATGCCCCACTCAGCAATATTCCAACTATATGACGGCAGTCTGTAAATAATCGAGTCTGGACCAGACAATCCAGTGATTAATATCATGAGCATCGATCCACGCCATTGGGATCGATAACATGCATCAACCAAGTCAGTGAGCCTGACCAACCGATCCCGTTAGTCGCCTCTTACGACAAGCATGGGTTGCTGAAGACCTATTCTACCCCGGAATCTTTACGGGTCTGGTCATGCCATGGGTACCCTGTGTTGATACTTCAAGTTCCAGTAATTACACACACCATAGCCATACCTGAACATCGCCTCCGAAGAAGATGACATGTTTCTTTGCTGTTGCGACATCGCCACACACTATCACGTCGTTAGATTGGCCCGGCAACCCTGGCACTTGTTCGTGTCGTCGGCATGATGAATGGAGGCTCTGTACAGACTGTAGTCCGTCCATGACACTGCGTGCAGCAGCGCGCTTCTTAACTGAACACACACACGAAATTCGTCCTGACACCAAGACGCCTATCACAAGGTGCAATGCATGTCTCATCGCACGATTTCTCCTCTAACTAGGCCATATCTCATGGCTGTTCTCTTCATTGTATGTAAACATATTGACATTCAACGGTCACTGTTTGCTCCGGAAGTAAAGTGAAGGCGAAGGACGTTAATGTCTTAGATACTATTGTAACAACAACTAATTGCAGGGATTGTGCCTAAAAATCGGTTAATGGGTAATGTGCGAGAATGGTCCCTGTCAGATATCAACGACAAACATGAGCATAGATTTATTTATTCAGTGAGAGGCAACAGGCCACAAAGGACATACATTTCACAAGATATAATATACAGTATAGATTCAAACACAGTTCTACATTGAGAGACATGGATGAGTGAAATGTACTACAAAACATCATTGATGGAGTGACGGGTAGAATTTTAAAGTAAAAAATATACAATAGAACCGATAAAATATGGAAGTAACGGGTTATTATAGAACTTAGGGTAGATATAATGTTTTCGTAAATCTGTTAATGCATTACATACAAGTACGTTTTCAGTGCCGTAGCCAGCGGGGGGGGGGGGCTGGATTGTTTATAGAAAATAGTTTTATTTGAATCAAGTTGGGGACAAGTGATATACTTGTACAAACACACACACACACATACATCCCAAAGTAGACATCATACACAAGTAGGTTTTATTTGCCATGTATAAAACGTTTGCTGTAAAATAAAACACCGACGGGAAATGATGGCGAGTGACAATAGCTTCATCAGCAGACGCCATACAAACTGAAAACGTATTCATTTATAAGTAGTTGTGGCCAGTTACATTCAACAGTTTGGGGTCATTGAAGAACTTCCGGTTTGAGATACATATTCCCTGTAAAATAGCATTATTTTGGATTACTATTTAACCTATTGGTGTACAGGAGAAAGTGGCACAGCTAATTCGCTGGTTACAGACGGGGGAACTGGGTGATAGACCTGTAGTGGTATGTAACCGTAAATATGTAATTATGACAGTGTCCGAATGTGTCTGGTACTCCTGGGTGCCGTCTGTGATGGTGATTCATTCATTCAGTGGGATGTGCTACCGTTTCTGCAGAGTGTTTTTTCCATTTCCCTGTTCATCAAATTTGAAGGAATAAACTCAGAATATCTTTGATACAATGGGAAGTTAGAATGTACTTTGCCGGGGCCTATATTTTTGTGCCTTGGCGAATTGCAATTGATCATATGTTACGATGACGAATGAGACAGATGGATCTAGATGCATTGTGAAAGGGTCTATAATGAACGTGATTTTACACATTTTATTATGTTGATACGAAGGGTTAGTATCAATGGAAGGGCCTGGAAAGTACTCACAACAGAGCCCCCACTCCCCACTGAAATGACATAGAAAGTTAAGGGGTGTTATGAAGTTATCCCAGATAGTTGTGGTGAGTGAATACCAAGACCATTATGCTGATCCATTTTCAACAGGCATACCAGACCTATTATAGTATACATACTAAATTAGCGAGACAGAACCGTGTGGTAGAGTGAAAACATGTTTCTTCAATCTCAGAATTCATACTCAACATGCTCAAGGCATTTGCTTATCCCATCATAGCCGAGAGCCGCGATGGGGTCCTATAGTCAGGACATGACCCTACATCACATGTCATGTCTTGACTGCAGTTCTCAGCTACCACAGACCCTCTTCCATTAAGCATGTCAAGAAGGAATTACGAGTTTACAAGTACAAGTAAATTAACATCATTTGTGGATAATAATCATAAGAATTCATGAAGTTTTTTCTTGAACTCGTAAATTTAAAAGGAGGCAAATGTAGGGAGCACCTTTAGAATACAGTACCACAACTTCTCGTGAGGACAATCTCTGCCATAGGTCACATGTCTCAAGACAAGCAACCAGTTTTTCTGAGAATCCGTGGGACGCGAACCCACGACCTTCGGATTGTTAGCCTGACAGCTAACCGACTGAGCTACGTCCACACTGTTAAACTCAGTGCAAAGTTACCTAGTCATGCCTATGACGTTACGGAACTGAACGAAAAGGGTCGAATAGGATACGGACACTTACGAAGGTTACGGGTAGGCATGGTGTCTCGTGACTTTAGTCTACGGACACTTACATATGATCCCGATGCCATTAAGCACACTCGTCCCATTCCGTAATCTACAAGATACCGAGTGGTGAGGAATGAGCCGTGAACTGAAAACGGCTCCAGGCGTCAGACGTCGAACTCGCGAGTACGCAGGTGATTTTTGTGACAGAAAAGTGTGGTAGGGAGCACTGTAAGGATGATGTGGATAATTGTAAGGAACGGTGGAGGAATAAGCATGGCTAGTGATGACACAACGGTGAGTTCGCTTTTGAATGAGTACTGAAAAATTGTAGCCGGTGAAAGTGGCCTGTGTGAATGTTCCAGGAACCATTTCATCCTTTTTACTCGACGTTTTTGTGTGAAGAATATTAGGAGCCGCTATATAATCTATAATAGCCACTAAACGAGTACCTAACCCTAATGAGCGTAAAGGGGTGATCAGGTGATTGATTGATCGTAAAGAGGATCCAAGGGTTAAGGATAGACTTCGGGTAATCTAATAGCCACTAAACTGGTTCCTAACCTTAATGATTTCAAAGGGGTGATTTATCGTAAAGGGGATCCAAGGGCTTAAGATAGAGTTTGGGGTAACCTACCCTAACACTGGCGATATTTGGATGTGTTCAGCGCCAATATAATATCCCTAATAAACTGCGTTCTTGTGCATAATAATGAAAATTAATAAACCGAAAAAATAATATATGTATATTAGTTCCAATTTATGACCATTTTATCCACTTCAATTACGAGAAAAACAAAACAAATAAAAAAATAAAAGTGCTTTCGTAAACTAGCGCTTGCTCTAAAATGGGCTGCCGCAGGCTATAATTAGTAAACAAATACTCTAAACTCCCAACACCGCAGGGATTATTCAATGACATTGCGTTTAGAGATGATAGATCACTGGGAGGAGCTTATGCACACTCGATGACCCCTGACGTCACAGGGCATTGTTTCGCCGGTGTGACTGGCAACAAAATACTACAAATTACGTCATATGGTATGATCACGTGTTTGAAAAGTTTGTGGTACTGTATTCTAAAGGTAGGCCAAATGTAGGAATCATAGTAATTGGTAAGATTTGTCATTGGAACTTTTAAATCATCCTGTGTTGACTTCCAATTCACATTTCTGTAAGAAGATGCTTCTTCAACAACTGCCATAATTGCACTTGTACATCTGTGCTTGTAATTCCTTTCCACATATTCATATGTATATGTCTGTCATCATCACAATCATGACCAGAGTTAAGGTAAATGTAATAGCCCTTTTTTCCACTTCTCTTGATCATGTTGATACATCAGGGATGTATCTCGAGGCAGATATTCAGCCCAAAATCTAAAATTCCCCAACTGTAAATAAAAAGTTACCAATTCATGTAATCATGTTACTATATACATGATATAACCTCTTGTAATGGGTTTTCAAGCCCCTAAGGAGTATTTCTGATTACAAGTCTAATAACATTCACTATACACTAAAATTAAGTCATACCTTTGAGAACATTTATTTCTGTTAACACTTGATGGTCAAATGACCATGTCTTGTTAATTTTATAGCGATAATGCGGGGGCGGTCGGGTAGCCTAGTGGTTTAAGTATTCGCTCGTCACGCCAAAGACCCGGGTTCGATTCCCGACATTGGTACAATGTGTGAAGCCCATTTCTGGTGTCCCCCGCCGTGATATTGCTGGAATATTGCTAAAAGCGGCATAAAACCATACTCACTCACTCACTCATTATATCGATAATGCCTCACTGAGTGAGACGAGTCAATCAGGCACAATCTTGTTACTGTCACATGACTTCCAGCCCCTCCATTACAGTCAAGTTAAAAATAGATGCACTACATGGCTTTGTAGTGATGCAATCTCAAAATACAATGTTAAAATATCTCTGAATTTACCATGTTTAAAAAATAAAGAACTTTTAAAAATCCCAATTTTTTTACAAAATAACATTTTTTTCCCCTAATTTGCCTGCCAGGGCCACTTTGTTTTAAATATCGGATATAACTATATGATTGAAAAAGTATTTGAGTACCAGTGTACATATCTTTTGAAGATGTTTTACATTGTGTCTTTCACTAGTGGGGTGATACACCGATGCATTGGAGGATCGGGCCCGTGAAGATTCGGGATAGAATAGGTCTTCAGCAACCCATGCTTGCCGTAAAAGGCGACTATGCTTGTCGTAAGAGGCGACTAACGGGATCGGGTGGTGAAGCTCTCTGACTTGGTTGATGCATGTCATCGATCCCATTTGCGTGGATCAATGCTCATGATATTAATCACTGGATTGTCTGGTCCAGACTCGATTATTTACAGACTGCCGTCATATAGCTGGAATATTGCTGAGTGCGGCGTTAAACAACAAAACAACCAACAACCAACCATTGGAGGATCGCGATTTTTTACTTCTTGATACAAGTATCAATCACAGTAGCACACTAAGTAAAAAATATTGATTCTTTAATAATGTTCACTTTAATAACTGTTACACCAAGCACTAATTAGAAGTGAAAATAAGCAGGATTAGTGGTAAAAATGTAAATATTCTCATCCACTGCGCCATACTTGACACTCCCAGCTGTAAATCATCAGTGTGCCAGGTAGTTGGCCATCCTGTCTATGAAAAGATGGCTTACACATCACAAATAAGAACACATGCAGTATCGTGATACGTTTCAGGTCCTGAGCAAGGTATCGTGATACGTGTGAGAGCCCACAGTTGATGTATTCTCCCAGCTCTCAGGTCTTTGTTAATGTTATCATTAGGGCTGGGACGGGTAACTCGGGTACTCGGGTCGGGTGGGTACTGACTAGGACCCGGGTACCCACAGGACTACCCGGACCCATGGTTAGTCACGTGATATATTGTTTAATGACAAAAAGTATCTAAAACTCTATGTTTAAACTATAAGTCACTAATGTTCGCAGTTCTTCCTGACTACTACGCCCATTGCTTCTGACTTTTATATGTTTGAATAAAAATAAAACTTCAGTCAACTTCAGTGTATACACCAGATCGTTTCATACATGTATCTAAACACATTTTACCAGAGCTACGGTCAAACGTTTCCCAATCGGACAGTTTGTACCTACCTCTTGAGACCTACAGCAGGTACTGGGGTAGGGTCGGGTAATAGGGGGGTGGGTACCCGGGTAGTAAATTTGGAGTCGTCCCAGCCCTAGTTATCATGGTTATGGTGTGAGTACATATGAACTTTTGTTTACAGATATTCATAGAAAACCGAGTTGCTCCTGTCTGTGATGGCTGCACAAGTGAGTAGAATTAGAGTTAGTAACCTTGATAGCATAACCTCAGTAATACTCCTTCAGTTATCGTGAACTGTGAATATTGTGGAAAGAAACCAGAATGTTCTAAGGCGTGTAGTGTACAGCTCCTCATGTTCGTCTGTTCATTGATATTGGGGAAATTATTTTATTATCATGAATTAAATTTTGCTAAATACCGTATTCGACGTAATAAGCGCCCCACTCTTATAAGCACCCACTTGTGAACAATCCCCATTGCACCCCTTCAAAATTGATCAGGGGCGGTCGGGTAGCCTAGTGGTTAAAGCATTCGCTCGTCACGCCGAAGACCCGGGTTCGATTCCCGACATGGGTACAATGCGTGAAGCCTATTTCTAAATAAATACATTTCGTTTCCTTTATCATGTTTATTAACTGGTCAGTGGCAGCTTCTGAATGGTTATTGTCTCTATAGTGACCAGCTTGATGGTGTTGACTAGTGACATGTTGTTATCTGTTGTGTAGCTGCTCATGGGACAGAGGAGGATTGTGGCTTATCTCCCATGTGTACCGGCAGCTGTTAGCCATTTCCGAAAGTTCTCATCTCATAATAAACCCTACCACACGGAGCACTATATCGTGGAGGCTACAAGTAAGTTAAATGTTAAATCACTGGTTTAGGGGCATTATTTGTATGGCCTGCTGTATATCATGTAAAATCCCATACATATATTTTATTTTGATACACAAGGCCACACTTTGAGTTCATGGCTTACAGATTTTGGGTTATCGTTCAGCCTGGCTTTGTTGAACAGTCAAAATAATTTTTGGGTCACTTAGCCCAGTGGGGATAAACTTTAGGACTCATGACATTCCCGAGTAGGCTATTAGTTTACTTTAACTGTTAGGTTTGTTTGTTTGTTGTTCTACAGCGTTAGAAATTTGCACTTGTCCTATAGACCTTGCCAAAGTGCCTAACAGTTAGGGTATCATGAGGACGAGTAGAAATTTGCCATTTTTAAGGGTATTGCTTTATTTTATCATTATACGTCTAGTGGACTAAAACCGTTAGTTTCAACACTGTTCTGTCACTTAGGACATCGATCATGGTGATGACCTTGACACTTGTCTCTGCTGCAGACACACAAACAGTTTGGCCAGACACAAACCTCGGACCCTTTGGTCCACAAGACCGGCGCTTCCCTCTCCCGGGCCTCGTGGGAACAAACTCATCTCTGCAGCAGCCTTTCAAACACCAGCCTCATACTGACCCCGACCGAGTGTTACCTCCCCTTCCTGTGGAGAGGCACTGCCAAGTCACAGAGCAGTTCATTCTATCATCAGAACAGGTGAGATGACCGTTTGCTTTTGTGGAAGTATCAATCTCATTAAAATCAGATCCTGGTTCTCGCTACTGCTAAACAAACAACTGAGAACATACGGGTCATATCTGAACGACCTTTAGTCTTACCAATCAGCATTGCTTACCAGATCAGGAAAATGACAGTCGAAATGTGTTTTCTAATCATGCATCACAGGTTAACAGGGGACATTGCAAATGACAGATATAGGCTTCACGACTGAATCCATCTTAATCATCTCCTGTCTGTCCCTTCAAAGGGATAAACATTTGAACAGAAACGACTTTGCATAGTCCATGTGAAGTATAGCCATACAATCTCGGTCTTCTATTAGATATTCCAGAATGTTCTTTCGTTCATTTTTAAAATTTTGAATCGAGAACTTTGTCAAAATATATTTCAAAGTGTTGTCTGGAATGGAAGTTGCCAGTTTGAACATGTTGAAACTAGTGCTGTATAGCTCAACAAGCTGCTTTCTGATTGGCTAATGTTGACTTCTTGTTAGTCATTTCATTGGTTGGTCAAAGTTCACAAAAGATTATTGTGACATGACCCATAATGGGATGTCCTCAGATCGTTGTTTAGTGGCAGCAAGAACTAAGGCCTGAATTTAATGAGATTGTTGAAGTATTATCAGCATTTCTGTTCTTGGTATATGGACCAGTTAATTCAAGAGATGTCAGTCGAGTGTCAGGTTGAAATATGGTAGATCAACTGACCTACAATGATATATATAGGTCCATGGTACACCTTTTGTGTTCTAGGGGGCACGGGTGGCCCAGTCGTCTAAGGTGCCGCGATTCGCTGTTCAGAGTTGTGTCCCTTGGGCACGCCAGAAACCTATGATTGTGGGTTCCAATCCCGGTTCACCCCGATTATGTTTCTAGGTTTGGCAGCACCATACGCGTGCTCGTGGGTTTCACCGAAGTGGTAAACGTCTGAGACCTACATCACTTCGGGCTTTCCTCCCGCTGTTTGATTGGATTTCTAGAAGTTGGCAAATAAGTAATAAAAACGTACAGCTTTATGGATAACAACTTCTGGTTTACAACGAGGGGGCACAGGTGGCCCAGTCGTCTAAGGCGCCGCGATTCGCCGTGCAGAGTTGCGACCCTTGGGCACACCAGAAACCTATGATTGTGTTCGAATCCCTGTTCGCCTCGATTAAGTTTCTAGGTTTGTCAGCACCATACCCGTGCTCGTGGGTTTCACCGAAGTGGTAAACGTCTGAGACCTACATCACTTCGGGCTTTCCTCCCACATTAAGCTGACACTCCGTGATATGACTGGAATACTGTTAAAAGCGGCGATAAACCCAACTCACTCACTCACTGTCCCCATCAACCTAGGCTGATTGTAGAAGGTGAGCAAATGGACCGTGTGGTCAGGGTCAGTCTGTGACTTGATGACATGGATGATATGAATCACTGGATTGTCTGGTGCCAATACATGTCACGTCAGAAGGACCTTTCATGACCACACTCGCTCACCTCACTCGCTCACCTCACTCATGACCTCTCGTGACTTCTCTCATTCACTCATGACCTCACTCCCTGGCCTCACTCACTCACTCACCTACTCAATTCTTTAAGGCCGACCTCATAGCTGGATTATTGCTGTGTGTGGCATTACACAACAAAGAAGCAAACCAACCAAACAACCCTTGACATGGTCAATGTAAGCTTATGTAAGCTCAATCTAGGTTTTTGTCAGTCGTCCGGCAGTCCATCCATCCGTTAGTACTGAACGGTTAGGGCATCTGCCCAGAGAGCAGAAGGTCGGTTGCTGCGTCATACCAAAAGACGTTAAAAGAATGGCACTTGTTGTTACATTGCCTGGTGCTCGGCATTAAGGAGAAAAAACAAGGACTGGTTGACTCGGAGTCAGTATACTGTGTCTGAGTGGGGTATTTATGTTAAACTGCGGCATGGTATCTCAGTCGGCTAGCACTAAAAATACGGCATCAGTCCAGACTAGTACAAGCAGCCACACACATACCTGCATTCAAGTCACTATGTAAGTGCAGTAATCTTGAACATGAAGTTAAACCCCATTTCAGGTCGCCTCACATGTTAAATAACTTTTATATCTGTGGTCAATTCATATTTTGGTTTTTACAGACGGTTGGGTAGCCCAGTGGTTAAAGCTTCATTCGTCCCGCCAAAGGCCCAGGTTTGATTTCCCACATGAGTACAATGTATGAAACCAAATTCCTGTCAATCAGTGTAAACATGGTAAATGCATATTCACTAGTTTTGATGGAGTTTCTTTATTTGTTCATTAACTTGAATCTGTTTTGCTGTGTCTCCAGGTCGAGGCTGACACTGGCTACTTGAACGAGCCTCCCATCCCAACAGCGTACGACATGTTGGAGTGTATGGCCCAGGAGTGTCCCCACATACTGAGGAGAGGTAACAGTGACAAGTCTTACAGTGGCTGGGAAATAGAACACACAGGATTGTTATGTTGAATGGGTTTATGAAAAAACTGGATACAAACATGATAACGGTCAAGGGAGCTAAGTAGGCACATGATGTATGTAGGTATTTTAGGTTTTGTTTGTTTGTTTGTTGTTTAATGCCGCACTCAGCAATATTCCAGCTATATGACGGCGGTCTGTAAAATAATCAAGTCTGGACCAGACAATCCAGTGATTGACGTTATGAGCACCGATCCACGCAATTGGGATTGATGACATGTATCAACCAAGTCAGCGAGCCTGACCACTCGACCCCGTTAGTCGTCTTTTACGACAAGCATAGCTTAGATCACTTTTTATCCCCCTGGCATATAATGCGGGGGGCTATAGCGATCAGCCAGTCTGTCTGTCCGTCCGTAATCATTTCCTTTTCCGGGGCAGAACTCGAAATAATTCAGTGTATTTGATTGAAACTTGGCATATCTATCAGTCACATACTGAAGTTGTGCCTTTTGCTATTGAGGAATTTTAGAAATTTTTATTTTTTACGTTTCCCTGTAACAAGTTGGGCAAGAGCGTAACTCAAAAACCATTAAATACTTTCTTACAAAACTTTGCATGTCTACCAGGCACATACTGAACTGGTGCCTTTTGCTATTTAGGGAAACAAATTTTTTTATTTTTTTTACGTTTCCATGGTAACCAGTTGGACTTAAGTTCTATAGGGTAGAGTTCGTTTCCAGAGCATAACTCAAAACCCATTCAAAATTTCCTTACAAAATTTTGCATGTCTATCAGACTCATGCTGAACTGGTGCCTTTTGCTATTTAGGATTTTTAGAAATGTTTATTTTTTACGTTTACATGGCAACAAGTTGGACTTAGGTTCTATAAGGGTGGTGTTCGTTTCCGGAGCGTAACTCAAAAACTGTTAAATACTTTCTTACAAAACTTTGCATGTCTACCAGGCAAATACTGAACTGGTGCCTTTTGCTATTTAGGAATATTATAAATTTATATTTTTTATGTTTACATGGTAACAAGTTGGACTTAGGTTCTATGAGGGTGGTGTTCGTTTCCGGAGCGTAACTCAAAAACAGTTAATGCTTTCTTACAAAACTTTGCATGTCTACCAGGCACATACTGAACTGGTGCCTTTTGCTATTTTGGAAATTTTTTTATTTTATTTTTTTACGTTTCCATGGCAACAAGTTGGATTTAAGTTTTCATATAGGGAGTGGAGTATAACAAATAAACTCTTAAATATTTCCTTGCCAAACATTGCATGTCCATATATAAAGTACATACTGAACAGGTGCCATTTGATATTAAGGAGTTTTAGAAATGTTTATTTTAGAATTTCCATTGCAGCTATTTTGACATGGGCTAAGAGAAATGTTGAGTCAGTTACCTGGTTTGGGACCATAACTTGTTAAAATGGGTGGGGGATATAGATGACTTCGTTGACTCAACGCTTGTTTCTTGTAATTTGTTTGCATAAAAAAACAAAACAGAAACACACGTTTTACTTTCCATTTCATATGAATGCGACCATGGTGGTTCTTTTGTTGGTAAACAATGTATGCTTCTTAAAGAACATTCAACTCTTGACTCATTACATACAGAATTGCACATTTACTTGTGGTTACTTTACAGACAGCTTCCGGGGGGGATATGTCATCTTTCTGATGACTCTTGTTGGCAAAGCGATCTGAGTGCCACAATTGTCGTGAAAAATGTCAAGGTATAGGAGTTACAGTCATGTCAGTGTTAACATTAGTACATTGTAGAAACAGATCCTTAAAGACCAGGGCCCTGTTCCTCAAAGCGATCTTAGCGCTACGATGATCGTAAGCCTATGTTAAAGTATGGGACTTACGATCACCTTAGTGCTAAGATCGCTTTGAGGAGCGGGGCCCAGGGTTGGAAGAGGTCTTCAGCAACCCATGCTTTCCATTAGAGGTCACTCTGCTTTTCGTGGAATCGGGTGGTCAGCCTCGCTGACTTGGTTGATGCCTGTCATCGATCCAAATTGCATAGATCGATGCTCATGATGTCAATCACTGGATTGTCTGGTCCAGACTTGATTATTTACAGACTGCCATCATATGGCTAGAATACTGCTGAGTGTGGCGTTAAACAACAAACAAACAAACAGATAAACATTGTTGAACGTGACAACTTAATATTTCCATTTATTATCAATCTCATTAAAATTTGGCCTTCGTTCTCCCATCTGCTAAACAAGAACCTGAGGTCATCCCAATACAGGTCACGTCAAACTGACCTCTCATGACCTCACTCTCTGACATTACTCATGACCTCTCATGACCTCACTCACTTGCTGACCTCACTCCCTGACCTCACTCCCTGACCTCACTCATGACCTCTCATGACCTCACATGACCTCACTCACTCATTCTGTTCCAGATTTCACCGACCTGTTTCCTGGCCATGACATCATGGAGGGGGCCTTCACCGTCATCACCATCTCACAGCGCACACAGCACGACATGACGGGGTGGTCCACGCAGGTCGACATCGAGAGGGAAACACTACTAGCTACTGTGAGTATAGAGTTGGTCTGCATCACTCTTCACCCTTCAATACCATGCATATCTTGATGGTAAGGTCACAATAAGATGCACGATATGATATTTGCAAAAACTTGACACTTAACATGTTATGGAAAAATTTTCATCATCAAACGAATTGAATTTTATAACATATTTAATAGCTAGTAGAGTAAGAACATTAGCTTGAGACACCAGGCCTTGTATATATGAGCAGAAACTAGTATCTAACATTTGGTGAGGTGGTTAAGTAGACAATTTATTGGAAACAACTTCTTTATTTACTGTAAAGGATTACAACTTCTTTATTAACTGTAAAGGCGATGTTTCGGTATAGAACACTTATGCTGTTGTAAAGCAACAAAGGAGTGACCTAGTCACTGGTTTGTCAAGCTGAAGCCCTGGGTAGGATTTCCAACATGTAGTCCATTTATGATGACCCCCCTCCCTGCCCTGATATAGCCATTTTCCCAAGTCAAGAGAGTTAACTGACTTTAAAAGTCCAGTTTCCACCCTTGCCGAACAAGGCTGGAATTACTCGATCGTAGCGCCACCAGTGGCTATTACGAGTTATGTCCCTTCTAAGCCTCTCCTATGGACCAATCAGATTCCACCTCTCGTATCAGTTGCGTTTGCTTCACACAAAATGGTGGCGCCCAGTGAAGATGATCTGATCGATAATCAAGATCTATATTGGGATAAAATGGGTCTTACATCCTGAAATGCATCAAATCACGTGAGCACCTTGATTAAAAACATGAAAAGATTTGGAAAATAACTGCTGACAACGAGTTGGCGGTGCACATACTTTGCAAATCCTGCAATCGATTGAAATCTGCTCGACAGTTTACGAACCGGATTTTGATTTCGGTGTGTGATTTTGATTGGGCAATGCATAGACTCGTTAGTCCAGCCAAAATGTAACTCCACAATACCAGCCTAGTTCGGCAAGGGTGGAAACTGGACTTTTATAGTCAGTTAACTCTCTTGCCAAATGGTTAAACCTTTCCCTCATGGCGTAAAACCATACTCACTCACTCATTTACTCTGGTTTGATCATCATTAATTTGCTTCTCCTTCAGTTTATCCAGGGTGCCACGGAAATCTGTGATGCTCTACAACAAGCAGGGTACTGGGCTGACTTCATAGATCCATCCTGTGGCAAACCAGTGAGTGGAGCTGTTTGATTGGCTTTCTAGAAGTTGGCAAATAAGTAATAAAAACGTACAGCTTTATGGATAACAACTTCTGGTTTACAACGAGGGGGCACAGGTGGCCCAGTCGTCTAAGGCGCTGCGATTCGCCGTGCAGAGTTGCGTCCCTTGGGCACACCAGAAACCTATGATTGTGGGTTCGAATCCCTGTTCGCCTCGATTAAGTTTCTAGGTTTGTCAGCACCATACCCGTGCTCGTGGGTTTCACCGAAGTGGTAACTGTCTGAGACCTGCATCACTTCGGGCTTTCCTCCCAAATTAAGATGACACTCCGTGATATAACTGGAATACTGTTCAAAGCGGCGTTAAACCCAACTCACTCACTATTGCATATAACGACGTTTCAAAGTTTGTTTGTTTGTGCAGCCTAATGGAGCCAATCAGTCACACATTTTTGTTTCACGTTTGTATTTCACGTTTATGTTTTACAGTTGCGTTTCACATTTGTGTTTCAGTATCGAGGCCCACATACCAACTCGTCGCTGTTCGAAACAGACGAGCGTTACAGGAAGTTGGGGTTCGAGATTGAGGATCTGGGATGTTGCAAGGTGATACAACATCACCTGTGGGGCACGCACGCCTACGTGGGCTGTCTGTTCACCAACGCCCCCCTCGACCACCCTATCATCCTAGAGATGCAGAAGCAAGACAAGTCATAGGGACGAATGTTACAAATGTAGATACTTCAGGAATATTTTTGAAAAGTTTGTAAATCGTTTGCAGGAAAAGTGCTGTGAGGATTTAGTTGGGATGATGTGATGCGTGTGCTTTATTCACAAAGAACAATGGACCGGTATTCTTTGTGCTATGGATGTTCTGAAGACCTGTATTTGTGAGTCAGTTTCCAACCAAAATAGGACTATTTTTGTGTGTACAAAATCACTTTTCAGTTTGGTAAAACAGCACTGTTTCAAGCTGAAGCCATCAGTGGCAAGTAATCACGCCACTGTAACGGTTTAGGGATTATTTCTGATCAGTGGGGTGTAGCATTATTTCAACACTGTTCACACTCACAAAATTATTGAGTAATAATATTTGACCCTTGCATAAACAGAGGTCCTTCTCTGTATATTAAAACCTTGTGGGGTTACATAGTATTACTTCATGTCATGCCTAGACTGTCAATACTGTATTCAGAGATTATTATGTGAACATGTGTGTCATACTGATTTATCACCTTTTCCTTTTGGCAAAATGAGAATTTATTTAAGAATTGACGTCAATATTCTTTTACCAACTGGATATTAGATCAACAGCTGTGCCAATCTGTTGAAGTGAAACTGATTGTGAATGGATGTGTGAAAAGTGTTGCTAGTTCTTTTCCTCATTATTTGAATCTAGTGTTGCCAGTTGTGTGTTAGATCTTGGTTATTTTTGTCATAAAATCTAAGATTTTGTTTCATCAGATTATTGATGAGCCATGTTGATTCAGGTTTCAGTGAGTTCATAGGGTGTTGGTCAGCGAAATGAGTGCCGTGAATTGCTGTATCCAGAAGGAAATATATGTACATAGGATTGTTTTTCAATTTGGTGCATCTTCTCCTGTAGTAGTGTATGTGCTGAATGAACAATGAAGGCCGACGTTGGTTGTATGTTTAGCTGGATTCTGTTTGGTATGAGAGTTGATGTTGTACAATCTCAGTATTTATTGTAAGGCAGACCATTTCTTTTAATTTGGTTTACGAATCCGTCTTCTCCAAAAAATTGAAATGCAATGATTCTTATTATTCCTCTGACCAGAAATAAGTAAAATGTTAAAAATATATGTTACTGTCGCTATCAATATAAATAAATTATATACTACTATAATTAGCACTTATTGAAAATTTATCTTAATAACTCCTGTCCCCACTTTTTCATCTACCTACATAAAATTTTAAGGGAAAAAAATAAATAATGACCGACCTGAATTTTTAGACCAAAAATCCATAAGCTAGAATGGTCTGGCCGAATGCTACCTCAAAGGAAGTTGTATCTGTCATGTTGGGTGACCCAACTTCAACTGTTACTGGTAATGAAACAGGGAGGGTTTTTCAAGAAAAATATATAACTTCTTCCAGAATACGTATAATGAAACACAATTATTTTGCCTCATGGTTTGCAAGACAACTATGTTTCTCTGGCTATGGGGGCAGTCCGGTAGCCCAGTGGTTTAAGCGTTTGCTCGTCATGCCGAAGACCTGTGTTCGATTCCCGATGTGGGTACAATGTGTGAAGCCCATTTCTGTTGTCCCCCGCCGTGATATTGCTGGAATATTGCTAAAAGCGACATAAAACCATACTCACTCACTCACTCACTCACTCACTCACTCACTCACTCACTCACTCACTCTCTGGGTATGCTGGATGTCCTGTGAGCCAATATTTTGGAAGAAAAAAGGATTGTTCGGCCCCTAATTTGAGGGAAATCAATTTTATATTTTGAAGCTCAACAGATGTGAGTACAGATCTACAGCCCAAGAAAATAAAACTTGAATAAAAAAACATCCATATTGCTATATGTTTAATACATAATGCAGATATATACTACCGCATACTAAATTCTTCAGTCTTTTCACAGTGCACTACCAGGCGTCTCAGGTGCCGCGATTCGCTGTGCAGAGTTGCGTCCCTTGGGCACGCCAGAAACATGTGATGGTTGGTTCGAATCCGGCTCACCCCGATTATGTTTCTAGGTTTGTCTGCACCATATACGTGCTTGTGGGTGCTTGTGGGTTTCACCGAAGTGGTAAACGTCGGAGATCTGCATCACTTTGGGCTTTCCTCCCAAATTACGCTGACACGCCGGGATATAACTGGAATACTGTTAAAAGTGGCGTTAAACCGAACTCACTTACTCACTCATAGTACACTACATTCCTCCATGTGCAGAGTTCAGAAGCTCCTCAACTGTCATTTTCAAAGTAATTATGCAAACTTATTTTAAATAATGGTCGTGACCAATGTGCAAATTATTGTTCTGGACTCTTGAGAAGCTCACGACAAAGCAAAGATGCTGGAGAGATGAACAAGTTTTGGAGCATGACCTTTGAGAGCCTGATTTTGTGGGTGTGGTCTAAGAGTAAGGTTGTCTTAGGAGCAGTGTCCAAATTACCTACCTGCCCAGGGCTCTGTTCCACAAAACGATCTTAACGGTAAGATGATCGTAACTCCCATACTATAACAGAGGCTTACGACAGTCGTAGCGCTAAGATCGCTTTGTGGAATGGGTCCAAGTTGGGCTGCATGTCATTTTCCTCCACCTGCCTGCCTATCCGGCAGATAATTTAAAGACTATTTAGGTATTCAGTTTTATCATAACAACTTGTAGGTTTTCAAGTAATTGTTTGCGTTATTTCAACTAAATCAAGACGTGATTTGTCTCTTCTTTTTTGTGATTTTTCAATATTTATAATGTCTGAATGCGGGCAGGTACGTTTGAAGATGGGCAGGTAACATTTATGGGTTACCTGCCCGACTGTCTTGTTGGGTTTAAAAATTAACCACACAGCTAAGGAGTCTTGAATTATACGTTACCGGTGTCCATGTACCAAACAAGTGCTAGAGTTGATATTTGTGGCAGGTGTGAATGTGCCAGTCTGAATGTGCCGTTACCATGGTTACTTTGCTGTGGGAGACTTTCCCAAAGTGGGTAGGATGTACACATTCAGATTATGTGTGAAGATAATAAAGGCTGTTATCTTAATAAAGAATTGTGTTTATGTGCATAGAACATCATCTTCCCGAGGTAAGAGCGTCCACTAGCTTTTATCGAAGTCTTGTTTCAGCCAAACTAGGCTTTGATACAGGAGAGTGGATACGCTTGCCTCGGGAAGATGCTAGGCTTTGAGGAAGGCTAGTGGACACACTTGCCTCGTGAAGATGCTAGGCTTTGATACAGGCTAGTGGATACGCTTGCCTCGTGAAGATGCTAGGCTTTGATACAGGAGAGTGGATACGCTTGCCTCGTGAAGATGCTAGGCTTTGATACAGGCAAGTGGATACGCTTGCCTCGGGAAGATGCTAGGCTTTGATACAGGCAAGTGGATGAGCTTGCCTCGGGAAGATGCTAGGCTTTCATACAGGCAAGTGGATACGCTTGCCTCGGGAAGATGCTAGGCTTTGATACAGGCAAGTGGATGAGCTTGCCTCGGGAAGATGCTAGGCTTTCATACAGGCAAGTGGATGAGCTTGCCTCGGGAAGATGCTAGGCTTTCATACAGGCAAGTGGATACGCTTGCCTCGGGAAGATGCTAGGCTTTGAGGAAGGCTAGTGGACACACTTGCCTCGTGAAGATGCTAGGCTTTGATACAGGCTAGTGGATACGCTTGCCTCGTGAAGATGCTAGGCTTTGATACAGGAGAGTGGATACGCTTGCCTCGTGAAGATGCTAGGCTTTGATACAGGCAAGTGGATACGCTTCCCTCGGGAAGATGCTAGGCTTTGATACAGGCAAGTGGATGAGCTTGCCTCGGGAAGATGCTAGGCTTTCATACAGGCAAGTGGATACGCTTGCCTCGGGAAGATGCTAGGCTTTGATACAGGCAAGTGGATGAGCTTGCCTCGGGAAGATGCTAGGCTTTCATACAGGCAAGTGGATGAGCTTGCCTCGGGAAGATGCTAGGCTTTCATACAGGCAAGTGGATACGCTTGCCTCGGGAAGATGCTAGGCTTTCATAGAGGCAAGTGGATACGCTTGCCTCAGGAAGATGCTAGGCTTTGATACAGGCTAGTGGATATGCTTGCCTCGTGAAGATGCTAGGCTTTGGTACAGGAGAGTGGATACGCTTGCCTCGTGAAGATGCTAGGCTTTGATACAGGCAAGTGGATGAGCTTGCCTCGGGAAGATGCTAAGCTTTCATACAGGCAAGTGGATACGCTTGCCTCGGGAAGATGCTAGGCTTTGATACAGGCAAGTGGATGAGCTTGCCTCGGGAAGATGCTAGGCTTTGATACAGGCAAGTGGATACGCTTGCCTCGGGAAGATGCTAGGCTTTGATACAGGCAAGTGGATGAGCTTGCCTCGGTAAGATGCTAGGCTTTCATACAGGCAAGTGGATACGCTTGCCTCGGGAAGATGCTAGGCTTTCATACAGGCAAGTGGATACGCTTGCCTCGGGAAGATGCTAGGCTTTGATACAGGCTAGTGGATACGCTTGTCTCGGGAAGATGCTAGGTTTTGATACAGGCTAGTGGATATGCTTGCCTCGGGAAGATGCTTGGCTTTGATACAGGCTTGTGGATACGCTTGCCTCGGGAAGATGCTAGGCTTTGATGAAGGCTAGTGGACACGCTTGCCTCGGGAAGATGCTAGGCTTTGATACAGGCTAGTGGACACGCTTGCCTCAGGAAGATGCTAGGCTTTGATACAGGCTAGTGGACACGTTTGCCTCGGGAAGATGCTAGGCTTTGATGAAGGCTAGTGGATACGCTTGCCTCGAGAAGATGCTAGGCTTTGACGAAGGCTAGTGGATATGATTGCCACGGGAAGATGCTAGGCTTTGAGGAAGGCTAGTGGACACACTTGCCTCGGGAAGATGCTAGGCTTTGATACAGGCTAGTGGATACGCTTGCCTCGGGAAGATGCTAGGCTTTGATACAGGCTAGTGGATACGCTTGCCTCGGGAAGATGCTAGGCTTTGATGAAGGCTAGTGGATATGATTGCCTCGGGAAGATGCTAGGCTTTGATACAGGCTAGTGGACACGCTTGCCTCGGGAAGATGCTAGGCTTTGATACAGGCTAGTGGACACACTTGCCTCGGGAAGATGATAGGTTTTGATACAGGCTAGTGGATACGCTTGTCTCGGGAAGATGCTAGGCTATGATGCAAGCTATCTGATACGCTTGCCTTGGGAAGATGCTAGGCTTTGATATAGGCTAGTGGACATGCTTGCCTCGGGAAGATGCTAGGCTTTGATATAGGCTACTGGATACGCTTGCCTCGGGAAGATGCTTGGCTTTGATACAGGCTAGTGGATACGCTTGCCTCGGGAAGATGCTAGGCTTTGATGAAGGCTAGTGGATATGATTGCCTCGGGAAGATGCTAGGCTTTGATACAGGCTAGTGGACACGCTTGCCTCGGGAAGATGCTAGGCTTTGATACAGGCTAGTGGACACACTTGCCTCGGGAAGATGATAAGTTTTGATACAGGCTAGTGGAAACTCTTGTCTCGGGAAGATGCTAGGCTATGATGCAAGCTATCTGATACGCTTGCCTTGGGAAGATGCTAGGCTTTGATATAGGCTAGTGGACACGCTTGCCTCGGGAAGATGCTAGGCTTTGATATAGGCTACTGGATACGCTTGCCTCGGGAAGATGCTAGGCTTTGATACGGGCTAGTGGATACGCTTCCCTCGGGAAGATGCTAGGCTATGATGCAAGCTATCTGATACGCTTGCCTTGGGAAGATGCTAGGCTTTGATATAGGCTAGTGGACACGCTTGCCTCGGGAAGATGCTAGGCTTTGATATAGGCTACTGGATACGCTTGCCTCGGGAAGATGCCTATGGGGAAATAAACACAATTCACATGTGGCTGCCTCTCTCAAGTCTGGACTATTGTAATGTTCATTTGTGTGGGATACCAATACTGAAAAGTATAGGGACGCCAAAAAGCCAGATCACAAAGATTCAGTGAGTCCAAGAAATGGCTACTAGAGTGATTACCGATACTGAAAAGTATAGGGATGCCAAAACGCCAGATCACAAAGATTCAGTGTGTCCAAGACATGGCTACGAGAGTGATTACCGATACTGAAAAGTATAGGGATGCCAAAAAGCCAGATCGCAAAGATTCAGTGTGTCCAAGACATGGCTACTAGAGTGATTACCGATACTGAAAAGCATAGGGATGTCAAAAAGCCAGATCGCAACGATTCAGTGTGTCCAAAACGTAGCTACTAAAGTGGTCACCCGTACTGGAAAGTATAAACATATTGCACCTATGCCCATGTAACTGTAGCAGTATGCCACACTGGACCCCGTTCGTATAGCGAATCGAGTTCAAAATACCTGTGCTAGTATATAAGGCAATACATGGTATATGGTCACCACTACATCAACCGACCTGTGAATATCTAGGTGAGAATA